TTTGTTTCCCTCTTCACAGCTCATTCAGCGTAATCTCTTGGAAATGTCTAGGATTTATTTTCATGGAGAAGAAGAAATCTCTGTTAGTTTCTTTTTTTTCTTCTATATATTTTTTTATGGATTTCAGCGAGGAAGGGAGAGGGAGAGAGAGAGAAACATCCATGATGAGGGAGAATCAGGGATCGGCTGCCTCCCGCACGCCCCTCACTGGGGATCGAGCCCCGTAACCCGGGCCTGTGCCCTTGACCGGGAATCGAACCCGTGACCGCCTGGCTCCTAGGTCGACGCTCTAACCACTGAGCAACACGGGGCTAGGCCTTGTCTTGCTGGTTTTCCTTGCGTCATAGGTCGAGGACGAAAAGTCCTTCATGCGGAGGAACCCAGGAACCTTCACGGTGAGAATCCGAGCTCGGACCTTCTCCCCCAACCTGGTCGGCCACTGGAGCGCCCCCCAGCGTTTCGGTGAGCGGGGCGCCCTTTCTCTCTCCGTCCTGGGCGAGTGTTGAATGAAGGCTTTGGGCACTGGCCTTGCTCCAGGAAACAGACTCGCGCACCCCCACCCCCTAGTCTGAAAACTCCTGGGGTGTCTGCCTGCCAAATAGAGGGGCGTCACCCCACCACCAGTCCCCCTCCCCCCTTTTTTTTTTCAGAAAGAGAGACAGAGAAAGAAACATCCACGATGAGAATCATGGACCGGCTGCCTCCCGCACGCCCCCTACTGGGAATGGATGGAGCGCACCAACCCGGGCAGGTGCCCTGGACCGGGAATCGAAAGGTAAGCGCGTCCCTCCCGGAAATGTCCATGGGGAAGACAGGGGGGAGCCGGGTGCCCGAGGGGCAGCTCAAAGAGACTGTTGTCCGCCTGGGGGCCACCCACAGAGGGGCACCCCAACCCCACCCCAATTCCTTGAGGGAACTTGGGGGGAAAGTCAGGGGTCGAAGCTCTAACCCCTGAGCCACGTTGGCCAGGCTTTTATGCAGTCTTTTTTAAAAAAAATGAATGAGAAAAATCGCCCGGCCCACGCCACCCCAGGGCGCGTCCCCTCCCCTCTGGGCGTGGCTGACTCCCCTGCAGCCGGCACACGTGCCAAGTCTTTGAAAACCCAGGCTCTGCCCCGGGTCCCTGAGGACTGGCCAGGCCAGAGCTCTCTGTGTGTAGTTGTAT